TCTTTAACCATACACCTTCATAAATACCATGAGCGAGTGCTCTAAATTTAGATTCTGCACTGCTGCGAAACACAACAGACTGTCTCTTACTTCTCCAGGTAACCAGGTTACTCCAAACATAGGTACAATATCCTGATGTAGATCTCCTGTCGTTTGTAGAACCTGCCCAATCCGCATCCGTGTAAATTTCAACATCCCTTCTGTCTATTTTTTGAAAGAATAAACCTTATCCCGAAGTTTTCTTGAGATACCTCAGAATCCGATACACAGCACTCATGTGATCTTCTGTTGGCTGATGCATGAACTGACTTACTGTACTTACTGCAAAACTGATGTCTGGTCTTGTGTGAGCCAAGTAAATAAGTTTCCTAATAAGTATCTGGTATCTCCTTTTGTCAACCATTTTATTACTGATTCTGGATCCAAGTTTGATGACTGAGTCCATAGGGGTGTCAGCAAGTTTGCTTTCCTAGCATCCCAGTCTCCTTTAGAAGATCCAGAATGTACTTTCGTTGAGAAACTGAAATCTTTTTTTTTATTTATCTACTTCCATACCGAGGAAGTACTTTAGTGCTGTAAGATCTTTTATTTCAAATTCTTTGGATATAAATTCTTTAAGTTTCTGAATCTCCTCAAGGTGATCTCCTGTAAGAATGATATCATCAACATATACAATCAAAATAGTCTTTTTACCTGATATGCAATGTTTGACGAACAATGTATGGTCGGATTGACATTGTTAATATCTTTTATGTTTTACAGCTCTTGTGAATCTGTCAAACCATGCTTTTGGATCTAATTTTCCACGAAGATGTTTATGAATGTGGACATATGCTAAACACCCAAACACTTTAAGTGGCAAAGTGTTTAAGATGTGAGAATCAGGAAAGATTTTTGAGAGGATAGTGTATGATGATTGAAACTGTAGAATACGGGAGGACATCCGATTAATCAAATAGGTAGCTGTAAGGACAGCCTCTCCCCAAAGATATTTTGGTACATGTGTGGTGAACATGAGAGATCTAACAATCTCAAGAATATGTTTGTTTTTTCTTTCGGCTATGCCGTTTTGCTGTGGAGTATGAACGCAGGAGGTTTGATGAATAATGCCATGTTCAGTAAATTATTTTTAAAGAGTATTTTCAAAATATTCACAAGTATTGTAGGATTTCAATACTTAGATGGTAGCATGAAATTGGGTTCGAATCATTGTATGAAATTTTTTAAATAGGAATCCCACTTCAAATTTTTCCTTCATGAGAAATACCTAAGTAATTCTTGTATGGTCATCAATAAAAGATACAAATCACCTAATTTCGGAAACGTTGGAAACCCTGGAAGGACCCAAAACATCACTGTGAATTAATGCAAATGGTTTAGATGGTTTATATGGTAGACTATGGAATGAACTTCGAGTATGCTTAGAAAATTGGCAAACTTCACACTGTAATAAAACTGGATCTTTTCCTTTAAATAGTAGTGGAAACATCCTTTTTAAGTACATGAAGTTTGGATGTCCTAATTTATAGTGCCACAACATAATATCATGATCATTATTTTTGGAAATAGGAACAGAGTTTTCACATACTGCATTGTGAGCTTGTCTTTTAGAGGTGTTGACTTGAAGCAAATATAATCCCGAGCTCATCTTAGCACTGCCAATCGTCCTCATCGAGTCCAAATCTTGGAAATTACACATATTAGAAACAAATTTCTAGCACATTTCAAATCTTCACATAGTTTGCTGACAGACAACAAATTACAATCCAAATTCGGAACATGGAGAACTGAACAGAGAGTCAAATTTAGAGACAAATTTACAGAGCCCATTCCTGCCACTTTTGAGAGAGAACCATCTACAATTCTGATTGAAATATTTTCTTCACATCTTCTGTAATTTGGAACATTGAGAAATCGCCACTCATATTATCAGATGCTCCAGAGTCTACTACTCACACCTGTCCTTTTTCTAAAAGAGCAGATAAACCATGAATATTACCTTTGTGTGCCACAGAGGCACTGACTGGGTGAGATTTCTTGGATAAGATTTGTTGGAGGGCTTCCAACTGTTCAGAGGTAAATGGGTCTTTTCCCATCTCATCAAAAATTACTTCCTCAGTCGTTACGTGATTTCCTCAAAGCTTGCTGGAGGTCTCTGCTTTCGACATTTTCCACTCACCCGAAGGTGGTTTCCAGTCACTTGGCTTACTGTGAAGCTTCCAGCAACGTTCCCGAGTGTGCCCTAGCTTCCGACAGTGGTCGCACCAGGGCCTTGTCTTCTTCGTTCGAGTGTCAATCACTTGGGTTGTGAGAGCTGAAGAATTTTCAGTCTGGTGAGGTTGGTCATTCTCTCCCATCATGATCTTCCGACGACTCTCCTCGCGTCGAACCTCAAAAAAAAATTCTCGAAGACTCGGCAAGAGTTTGGTGCTTAGAACACGTCCCCGAATCGCGTCGATATTTTTGTTTAGCCCTAGCAGGAATTTGAAGATTCGCTTTCGTGTCCTCGGGGCAGTTCCAGTGACGCTATTCGAAGGCGTCCATCTGCTGCCAATTTCGACTAAAGATACTGTAATACTAGGTGACACTGAGTTTTCCTTGTCGAAAGTCATGAAGAGTTGACTCGATTTCGAATATTGCAGAGATATTTTGCTTGCTGGAGTAAAGTCTTGTGCTGCATTCCAGATGTCATGAGCAAGTTCGTAGAGAAGGAATGCTTCTTCGATTTCAGGAGTCATGAAG